CATTCCAAGCAATACGTAAACCATATAATCTCTATTTTTATTAGGTGATGCGGAGATTCAAAGCCATAACCTTTGACATATATCAATGAAGTTGGATGGATGAAAAGACAGGACAACAATTGACATATTCCCTTGTAATCTATCTTGGATTAATTCCAAATAGGTACCATCCCATGTATGAAGTTCCTTATTTGCCGCGTCAATTATTTTAAAAGTAACGATTTTTCTTCCTTTAATGTTAAATGGTCATTTTTACACTTAAAATAATTATTTCATTTATTTTTCTTCTCTAACAAATTATTAAACAAATACCAATTTTGGTTCCACGAGTATTAAGAAAATGACAGTTTTATCCACATGTTTAATTCCTACCAATTTTAATTCATGACTATTATTTTAGTACCAATTTTCATTCACGACTATTGTTTTAGTGTCAAAATTCATCACATGCCGAGATCTAAAAATTTTAAGGGGCAAATACCAATTTTGGTCCCACGAGTATTAGCAAAATGACAATTTTAGTCCAAATGTTTAATTCCTACCAATTTTCATCCACGACTATTGTTTTAGTACCATTTTTCATCCATGACAATTATTTTAGTGCCAAAATTCATCACACCGGTCACACATTAGTTTAAGACATGCCAAAATATGAAATTATTAAGGGTATTTTTGTCATTTTCAAATTAAGATCCCAATTTGAACATGAATAAAGAGATTTAAGCCCTAAGATCGATTCCAATTCGCAATTATCCTCCTCAAAATGACCAATAAATAGTAAGTAAGACAGATAAAATGGGTTAGATGGAGTAAACTAAAAATTTATTTTCAATACATTGAATATTTATTTTTTAGTATACTAAACGTTCATTTTTTGTATACAACTTAAAAATGAAATGAACCTTCAACATATTAAAATGAACTTTCAATATATTAAAAAAATGAGCATTTATCAATAGTTTAATTCAAGGTTGAAAAAATCGCTAGGCGCCTGGGGACCGCCTAGGGCGCCTAGGTGACCGACCGCCTAGCGTCTAGGCCCGATTTTTACAACACTGGTTTAATTTGCCATAAGGAATAAAACATGTAAGAAATAGAAATTCATTACTTCTTCCCTTTGGAATAGTTATCCCTTGCAAGAAAAATAACTCAGGAATAAAAAGACAAAAAATAATAAAATTGACCTATTTTTTAGAATGTTATTTCATTCTCGGCTTTTTTTTTTTTGGGGAACAATGGAAAGGGGGAAACCCCAGAGCCAAGCTATAACCTGATTCTCACTATAGGACTACACCAATTTACACCCCTTTTATCAAGAGCAAGACTACACCAAAGTGCAGAGGGAGAAGCTTGGGCTGTTTACGTGGCTTTACAGTGGGCATGGAGTAAGAAGGTTGCGAGAGTCTGAATTTGGAGTGATGCGAAGGAAGTGGTTAGCTGGATCAATAATGAAGACAGGCAGGGGTGAGCCAGGATTTGTTGGTGTCGGGGCCAATCACAATTTGAAAGAGAATAATAAAATACGTTAATATTCATTTAATATATTCTAAAATACATCATTATATTACAAATCTACTCAAATTTAGAATGTCTTTCCTGCATATCACAAAAATCATCTATAATTGAATCTATACTAAATTATTTTGCAATTTATTTTTCAATGTATACTAACAAACAATCATTAAGAAATTCATCTTCCATCTTATTACGAAGCGTAGTCTTTAAATATTGTTACTAAGAAACCTTTCATTAAAGAGCAAACATTTCTTAAATATGGATAGTTCACCTATAAACATTGTCAAAACCCAATCGTTATGATGTGGAACCGTGTCTACCTTGCAAGGTGGACACGGTTCTATGTTCATAATTATATAGCTATATATATATATATTCATAATATTTGAATTTTATATTCATAATTATTGAACTCTATATTCATAATTACAGAACTCTATGTCCATAATTAGTAAACTATATGTTCATAATTATAAATTAATATTTTCATATTTTTGAACTTCATATTCACAATTATTTAATCTCTATAATCATAATTACAAAACTATATGTTCATAATTATGTTCACACCTTTATGTCCATAATTATAGAACTATATGTTCATAATTTTTGAACTATATATTCATAATTATAAAAAGTTTTGGAATCAGTTCCACCGCATAATTTGCCATCAAAACCCTCTAAACAAATTTAATTCAAGTGTAGATTAATAAGGAAAAAAGTCATTACTTTAAAATGAATATGGGAAACAAAAAGAAGAAGAAATATGTGATTGGAAGGGACAAGAGCGGGGGGAGGGCAAGGCCCCCTGCACTTACCATGTACCTCCGCCACTGAAGACACGAGTCTGAGTGGTCCGTGCAGAGATATAATACATGCTTGCAAAGAATGGATTAGAAGAGATTGGGAGGTTAAAATTTCCTTTACCTCTCATGAGCACAACACCGTAGCTGACAGATTGACAAGATACGCGGTTAAAGAAAGATGTGACTAGATTGAGTTTGAAAGGCTGCCGGATGATGTGTTTGAAGACCTTGTGAGAGATCGGAGCGCTTTGAGAGCTGGTAGCTAGCCCAGCTTGCGGGGTTACCGTACCCCATCCATTCCACACAAAAAAAAAAAAAAAAAAAACAAATTTTTTTTTGCATTAATGAAAATGAAATTATAATTGGTGACTAATTAAAGTAATTTATTTTTTTTTGAAGGAAAGTAATTAAAATTAAACTAATTAAAATACATATCAAATCAATTCATTAGAGATTCAATAATGATATTAATTAATAGATAAACCTTAATAACAAAAATTTATATATATATATATATATATATATATATATATATATATATATATATATATATATATATATATATATATATAGGGATGAATCCATTCCTATTTCGTGGACGGACAGAATCCATTCCTATTTCGTGCCTAGGCGAAGCATTCGCATCTGAGTGCGATTCTATATAGGGATGCACTCAGGTGCGAATAAGTGCTCAGGAGGGAAATGCGAACGAATCAGCGCGCAACACGTGTCCAGATCTAATAACTTAAAAAAAAACGCGGTGGCATTTTCATAAATAATTGAACATCGAAGTGCAAGTAAAATCACTTACAAGTGCACCTACTTTCACCTATAAGTGTATGTAATTTTGCCTTGTTAGCATTCACTTTCCGCAAACATTCATGCATCTGGGTGTGCTTATAACTATATGTGCAACTATTTATAACTATATGTGTAACTACTTATAACTATAGGTGCACCTACTTTCACCTATAAGTGCATGTAATTTTGCCTTGTTAACATTCATTGATCTGAGTTCAGCGGGTAGTAATACCCCTGAAATCCATTCGCAAACATTCATACACCTAGGTGCAACTACTTATAACTATGTGTGCAACTACTTAGAACTATAGGTGCAACTAAGTATTGATGCTCAGTGTAAATTTTTTACTTGCACCGATAATACATTTTACATGCACTTGTAATACATTTTACTTGCACTTCGATGTTCAATTATTTACGAAAATGCCACCGCATTTTTAAAAAAAATCAGTGTTTCTCATCCATTAGATCTGGACACGTGGACGGACAGAATCCATTCATATTTCGTGCCTGGGCGAAGCATTCGCACCTGAGTGCGATTCTCTCTCTCTCTCTCTCTATATATATATATATATATATATATATTTATTTATTTATTTATTTATTTAACTGTGCGTTTACAAAATTTACATAATAAAATATAGAAGATTAGAATTTGTTTTTTGGTATAAACCACAATGTGGTCCGGATCCAGTTCACTCCTAGAGCCACATTTCTGTGAATCGAACCTGAATTATTTCAAAATTTTCCTCAACAAAAAGAACTCCAAGAATTAAACCCATTATCTCCCATATAAAGGAGCAACGTGGTACAATTGATCGAACCAGAAGGTCCTTGGTCTATACCTATTCATTTGATGATTGTTTATGGACTTTACATATTAAAATTTACTATATTTATTATATTAAAAATTTAATTTAATTAGAATAAATTGTAAAATGAAATGAATTTCAAATTTCAAAACTAAAATTTTTACCTTCCTTGGATGAGCAAGGAAAAATCACTTCTTTTTTAATTTTAATATACACGGAGTAATAGATAGGATCACACGATTAGGACATAGAAGGTTGTCATCTCGATAAATCGGAGTTGCTTTGTGCTCCGTCAACAGATTCGACCGTCTCCGTTCAGGTGTTTTTAGGCTTTTAGCATTATCTGTATTTAGTTGTTCTTGTGTTTATTTACTTTGCTTTTACTAAAAATTTTCAGTGATTTACTTTAGCTTGAGTTTGATCTTCCAGACGGAACTTTGTTTGCTACATTTCTTCCATTACATTGCCTTTGAGCCTAAAACTCTGAGAGGTTGGCCCTGCTACTAAGGGCATGTTTGGTCGCACATGGGAATCAGAATCGGAATGGAATCAAATATTGTAATAAGGCTTTGGTGAAAGTATTTTGTATATTTGGTAGTAGGGTGGAATTTGAATTGGAATAATTACATGTTTGATTGTGTATGACCCTATACTGAGAATACATGTTTTAAAAATACAAAAAACAAGACAATTAATACTAATATAATACGGAGTAACATCTAAAGCATCAATATGAATAAAAAATCAAAACAAAAATCTAAAAAAATTAATCCAAACTTAAAAATTAGATTACCAATATCTCTTTTTAATAAGGAAATGAAACTTTTAATTGAAGCCATAGTTGTGTTTTAAAAAGTTGTCAACCAAATACTAACTATGATTTTGATTCCCATTTCTAATGTGCAAACCCATTAACCAAACACACCCTAAGTAAGACTATAACTAGGTTCTTGTTAATGTTCTATCATGTACAAGGGGGAAGCTAGTGATATAGTTCAATTCACTACTTTTTTCGTTTTTCTGTATATATTTGTTTTGAGCTTGATTGGTGGTGAATAGTTTGGGTTTTCATATTGCTTTCTGGATCTTTTCATTAGATAGGATAGTTTGCAAATTAAGTGTCACTATCATTATTATGTTATCAAATGGTTACTTTTTCAAGCTTAAGTATTATAGAAGGATATAGGTATAAGAGATGGAAATTTGGTGATTAAAAGGATACTAAAACAAACATTGTAAACTATATTTTTACAATTGGATTTTCTAATGCTGGTTCTCCTTTTATTAGAAATGGAAATATCAAGAAAGAGCAAACGGAGGGCAATGGAAGATAAATTTTTTAACTTGCCAACGGATGTTTTAAACTGCATCCTAGATCACTTGCCTGTTCGAGATGCAGCAAGAACAAGTATTCTGTCTAGAAAATGGAGATACATATGGGCTAATCACCCAAATCTTGTACTTGAACCCAAAAATATGTTTGGAGATCCGGCAAACATTAGCAGCGATGATTTTATTCGCATAGTCGATGGAATTCTCTTACAGCACATTGGACCCATTCTAACTTTTAAAGTTAATCTTTTAGATGTGGACATTACTCAGGAACCATATGTTGATAGGTGGATTCTTTACTTGTCAAGAAATGGATTGAGGAAACTAACTTTGGATAATTTCAGTCTTGACCTCTATGACCTTTATCCACTCCCCTCTTATGTACTCTTGTGTCGAGAACTTACACATCTGCATCTGTCTAACTGCATCTTCAAACGACCCTGTGGTACTACTGGAAGCTTTCGTAGTCTTAAGAATCTTTCTTTGAAACAAGTTGCCTTCTCCCTTGAGGTTTCTGCTTCTATTTTTACTGCCTCAAAGCTAGAGTATTTGAAGTTAACTAAGTGCAGTGGTATAGAGCACTTGAACTTTGATGGCTGTGTAGAATCGCTTCTCCACTTGGTACTTGAGATGAATCATGAGGTTAAACTAAGTTGTTTTATGAACTGCAAAAGTATCAAAAGTGCATATTTGGCAATGGAAGTTGAATCTTTTGACCCTAATGAGAGGATCAATTTAACAAGTCTTTTTGAGCACTGGTCTCAAATTTCAAAGCTAACTATGGATGGACGCCATCTCAAGGTGCATTTCCTTTTAAGATTCTCCGTGTTTATTTCAGAAATGATTTATTTAGGCTGTGCTATAATTTTCCTCTGTGGTGGTAAGTTTTTGGCTGCAGCCTATGTTACGAGTGCACTTCCAGTTAAAGTTAACAACTTGAGGGATCTTATATTGTTTGGAATTAACTTCACCGATCTGGATCAAATCTCTTGCATTCTTTGCTTGCTTCATAGCTCTCCTAGGTTGAATAACCTTGCAATTTGGGTGAAGGTCAGAAACTAGTCCTATATTTACATTTATTTCTTTCTACTCTTCTCTTAACGTCGAGGTTTGAACTTATTTCAAATTTTGTTTTATAGGTCTCAGAGACTGCTGACAAGAACCCTGCTTTACAGTATTTGCAAGAACATATCTGTATAAGCAAACATATTAACAGTTTGCAGACCTTGATGATCAAATATTTCGAGGGGTCAAGAGCTCAAATGCTCTTCGTAAAGCTCATACTTGCATGCTGCCCGTCGTTAGAAAGGATCAGTTTTGTAGATAATAGAGTAAAGGCATGGAACCTGTCAAATATTTTGAAAAAGTTGTTGCTATTCCCTAGAGTGTCGAAAGCACAAATCGTGTTCTGAAGTTGTGACTAAAATCCAGTTAAAGTTTTTGGTTTCTCAATTTGAAATCTAGTGTCAATGAGCAGAAGAAACATGTTATTTATAGGTCCAGGTATTTTTATTTACAGAGTAGGATCAAGTTTGTGTCTTGCATTGTCTGAGCAAGTTGCTAGCAACTTAGCTAGCTATCAGAGCTTTTTGATGTTTTGAATGGTTTCTCTAATGCTCATTGCACTAAAATGTGATATTTCTTAGTGTAATGGTTTAAAGGTTTGTATCTTGTTGCACAATTGTTGAGAAAGCCAACCACGAGGTTTGCAGGATATCAATTGAAGCATGTGTTTCATCTCAATTAAAAGTCTAAACTAATAGTTGGATTGGATATATATGTGTAAATATTATATGTTTAACATGCCCCTTACGTGTGTAAGTTGGTTACTTTTGACGGTGTTTTAAACAACACGTGAATTATAGTCTCTATTTTTATCGAGGAGATTCAAAGCCATAACCTTTGGCATAATGTATCAATGAAGTTGGGATGGATGAAAAGACAACAGGACAAGTTATTTGCCCTGCAACAATTGACATATTCCCTTGTAATCTATCTTGGATTAATTTCAATTGGTACAATCCCATGTATGAAGTTCCTTAATTTCTTCAAAACAAAAATATACAAAAATACTCTTACTCAAACACCTATACAGACTTCATAGTACACTACCATTTCGTCTGTTGAATGCACCAGAGAAATCCAAATAAATACTCGCAATGATATTCATTGTTGTCTCTTTAGACGGCACTCTGGTGCTAGAGATAACATGTTTGATTTACAAAATAAATTTTGGAGGATTAGGAATCCATTCCATACGAAATTAATTATTATACTATAGATCATGATTCACCTTATTATATAGGCTACTGACATAAAGTTCATTTTTAGTACGAAATATACTGAAAGTTCATTGAAAAAGTTGATTGACCTATAAATAATAACTAAGATAGATAAAATAGGATTGAGGGGATAAACTAAAAGTTCATTTTCAGTATTGAATATTCATTTTTGAATGTTTATTTTTTAGTATACTAAACGTTCGTTTTTTGTATATAAGTAATACAACCTAAAAATGAAATGAATCTTCAATATATTAAAATGAACTTTCAATATATTAAAAAAAAAAAAAGAGCATTTATCAATGGTCCACGTTGCAATGTGGACCATTGTGCATAGTTTAATTTGTCATAAGAAATGGAACATGCAAGAAATAGAAATTCATTACTTCTTCCCTTGGGAATAGTTTTCCCTTGCAAGGAAAATAACTAATTCCTAGAAATAAAATGACAAAAAATAATGAAGTAGACCTATTTTTTTAGAATGCTATTTCATTCTAGACCTATTTAATGAATCATGTTAGTGTAATATCTACTAATTCAATTTGTTTTCTATTTTTTTTTTATAATTACATATACAAAATGTGAAACGCAATATTTATTTAAAAAAATTCTATTAACATATAAAATATTCGACTATTAAAACTTAAAATATACAATTCAAACATTTACTTTAAGGGTCCGTTTGGAAATATGGGAAATGACTTCCGAAAGTCATTTTTTAAAAAATATTTCAGTGTTTGGGTACTAAGGAAAATGAAGTCAAAGTAAAATATTCATTTTGGTCAACAGAAAAAAAGTTTAATTTGGTAAAAAATGTCTTCCTAATTTTTTAGTCAGAAGACATTTTCTGGATTCTTTATTTTCCGATCTCTCTCTTGACTTTCTTCTTTTTTAAATTAATTTTCAAATTATTATTATTACCACCACAATCACCACCAACATCAACACCACCTCTACTGCTACCACCACCAACACCAACAACACTACCACACCACCATTACCAACACCATCACCAATAACTACCACCACCACCACCAACATCAACACTGCCACCACTGCCACATCACCACTAACACTACTACCACCACCACCACCACCACTACCACACTACCAACTCCACCACCACCAGCACCACCGCCACCACTACAACCATTATTGTTGTTGTTGTTGTTGTTATTCTTATCATAACAAATAATATGTTCATTTTCAAGAAAATGAACCAAACAGAAAAAAAAATGATAAGTTAATTATGTCCCTGAATTTTTAAAAAGGTATAATTAAGCATATCAACATGTCATTTTAGTGAATCGAAGCTCAAAAAACTGGTATGCGACCTGTAATAGTAGATCACTAGGGTTTCAACGATGTTCTAGCTACCTTGGAATGTAAAGAATTTTTATATTGGAGAAAAATAAATACAATATAACTAATGAAATTATTTCTCTTATTTAATTTATTGATAATGAATAAATTTTTTTGAATAAAGACATTGTAGACACATAATTCTAAATTAAATAAATACATATGTATTATTTTTTGTTGTAGCTACTAAATTATTATTTTTAATTTAATAAGAGTAAAATAGAGTACTAATTATGCCAACTTTGATTGGGATGTGGTTCGAACTTCAGACCTTTCTTATTGAAATCAATGAGTAAGTTAACGGTGAACTAACAGAAATTAACGGAAAAATATTTAACAGAAAATTTAACGGATAATCATATTCATTAAGGATAAATTAGGAAATTTAAAGGAAAAATTAAAATCTGGTCAATCTGAGCCATTCATTTGATTAAAAAATTTAACCACCATTCCGTCATTTTTTCTACCCATTATAGACCTAACTCTCTTGGGCTCTTATTAGTATAGTAGATATGACGTAAGAGTGAATATATTGTATATTTTGGATTTATATTTATTATAAAAATATAATGATGATATTTTTTTATTGCATTATCGGGTCAATATATCATTGATTTAGTTCAAACATATATTTAAAAATTGAGTTAATACCATCCGAGGTCCTCCCAGTATAGTGGTTTTGCCACGTTTAGTCGTAAACTTTCAAATTGACCATCTGTGATCCTTCAACTTTCAAATTTAACCATTCGTGGTCCAAGTTAACCACCCATGGTCTTTCAACTATTAAATTTTAACCAACCATGATCCTTTCAAGGGGACCACGACTGGTTAAATTTTGAAACTTGAAGGACCATGTGTGGTTAACTTGGATCACGAATGGTTAAATTTGAAAGTCGAAAGACCACAGATAGTCAATTTGAAAGTTTAGAACTAAACGTGGCAAAACCACTATACTCGGAAGACCTCACATGGTATTAACTCTTTAAAAATTTCTCATTCTTGATCTTAAGGGTTAAGAATGTGAGTTAGGACTTAATTAATAAAACATTCCTAGTGATTATAGTAAAGATATGATAGGACGTGTACATGTGTATAATGTCGTCCTTAGGATATTGAAAATTATGATACACAATATATAATAACAAGTAACTAGTCATTAGTTTTACGAAATTAACAAGAAGTGAAATAATAACAAGTCTTTATAAACAAGAGATAAATATGGAATAGATGAAGTCTGATTCAAGTTAGTGTTGGAGCCGTTGGTAGAAAAAACAAATAATAATCAAAAAATAAGATTATTATTTTCTGGAAAACAAGGGAAGGAAAGATGGAGAATTTTGGCTCGTGTTTGGCTTTGGGTTTTTGCAAGAGTCAAGCGATCATTCTTTCCTTAAAATCTTATTTGCCACCTCCCAAAGATGCTAGGAGCGTTGTGGCCTAGGCTTCCCAGGATAAAACTTGCTAGTGATTCAATGTTTGAGCACTCAAACAAGGAATCCGGCGAGCAAGACACGGTTATGGACACAGTAGGCTAAAGAAGGAGTAGAAGCAGAGAGGTTTTGAGGCTAAAAGATGAACTTTCCTGTTCTATAATTTTCTGTGTATCTCTCTACTGCCTCTACCCTCTCTTATATAGGTTTGAAGGATTAAATAGCTTTTATTAGGGCACTTTAAAGCTGGCTCTCCAACAGCTATAACAGCAGGCCACTACCTGAGAATTGAATTCAGAATTCAAAATTGGAGTTAATAGGATATTAATTACGTAATAGATGAATTCAATCCCCATAACAGTCAGAACTTTCGGGTTCCAGACCGTTGGCGTACAGGGTTCGGTCTCAACTTTCGACCTTACCCCCCACCGGCTCTTTCATCAAAAATTCGTCCCGGGATCCCTTTGTGGAACCCGAAACCATGCTTAGACACTTTTAAACGCAATTAACGACACCACGTAGTCAATTAATAGATCAAAAGCAAGAATCATGTATAATTCATCCTATCGCGACTTCTAAACATAAACAACACCCAAACATGCGAATTCTCACCCAATATATATCAAGAACATTACAATACAAATTCCCAATCCATCCTAGGGCTCTAATCCCACCCAAATCATCAAGATCATATTTTATCTTTAACATCAAGAAATATCAAGATTCGTCAAGAATTATCACATCAATACCAAGAACTTCTCTTCAACATCAAGATCATCAAGATTATCAAGAATGCACATAAATCATCTTATCAATCATCAAGAACATATCATAATTACCATAGAAGAATTTATCAAGACACAAGAATATAGGGGGAGGCCAAAGAAAGAGATTATAGCGAAGAAAATAGGTTTTGTTGAGACATGGGTTACCTCTTAGCCTTAATTAATTTCCTTGGCTATGAAGGGTCTTTCTTTAAGATTTCTCTTTTCTTGATTTCTCCTAAGGGAATTCTTGGAACTTCTTGTGTGGTGAGAGATTATTTGTGGTGTGAGTTCTAGGTGCCTCTTATGTCCCTATTTATATATCTAATAGTCCTATTTAGGATCTAAATGGTATGGACTTAGCTAATTCTATTTCATATAGGACTAAGGGTTGGGTTTAGGGATAAGAGTCCATGGGCTTATGGTGGACTCTTCCTCATTAATTAATGAATTTTAGTTCTTCTCTTTTGGGTAAAGGTTTAAATAATTAATCGGTTTAGGGGCCGTAACACGGGGTGTTACAATTATACATATGACTCTGTACTCTTCCAATTGTGGCTTGACTATCGCAATGCACACATATTGGAGGTACCGGTCTTTCCCAATTAGGAATATCCTCTATAAAATGGCGTAGCCATTCAGCCTCTTCACAACCTTTGTCCAAGGCTATCAGCTCAGATTCCATCGTGGATCTAGCTATCACAGTTTGCTTAGAGAATTTCCATGCAACGGCTGCACCGGCTAGTGT